TCTCTCCAGGGCTCTCAGTCACCTTGTCCTGGAGGAAGCCAGATGGGGATAATGGAGCCCTGGGCTCCAGCCACTCACTAGGCCCCTCCCTGCCCTTTCCACCCCTTGCCCCTACCCATAACTGCTCCTGTGGGAGCATCCTTCCCGGGGCCAGTGGAGGCCGACAGGGAAAAGGCTCTTGCCAGGAGCAGAACCCAAACAGGGCTGTCCTGGGCCCCTAGCCTGTGCTATAGCCACTCCCCTGTGGCTCAGACACTGGGCCATGCGGTGCTCCAGCCTGTGAGGCCAGGGCCTGTCCTTGCAGGGGCCAGACTGTTGTACTGAAAGTACTGCCCCGGCTCTTTTCAGGGAATAAGGCAAAGTGCCGTATTGATTGGTAATACATGTATCAATAACACGATCATGCATAGGAGATATATTACACACACCCTCAGCTTCAAAGTCTGTGTCTGTTGGTCCTTTGTGCTACTTCCCTCTGGGGGTTGTCCCCATACTGCGAAGGGGGTTCCCAAAAGCAGGGGCTCGCTCCTAACCCCCAAGGCCGACAATGGGTCTGCTCTGCCTCAGTGAGCCCCCTGGCCATGTGGTGTTGGCCTTGGGTCTGGCTCCCGTCCCCTCTCCAAGGGGAGCAGCTGGCTGGAGGTGCTGCCTTCCTCATCCAGACCGTGGTCATTCAACAGGGCAATTGATTAAGGGTGGGGGTGGGGGGAGAGAGATCTTATTCTACTCCTAGCAAAAACAGTGGGGGGGGGAGCACCACGGCTCAGTGGTTTGACCATTGCCCTGCTAAACCCAGGGTTGTGAGTTCAATCCTTGAGGGGGCCATTTAGCGATCTGGGGCAAAAAAATGGGTCCTGCTAGTGAAGGCAGGGGCCTGACTCAATGACCTTTCAAGGTCCCTTCCAGTTCTAGTAAATAAATAAAAAGACACTTTTTTTAACATTATACCAAGACTTGATACAAAGTTTTCTATATAAGGCTCTGGTACAAAGTTGTAGGGAAATAGAGGCATAATACAAAGTCATATGAAAGTTAGGTGAAGATGCTCAATGCAGAGATTTCTCTACACGACCCGGGGCTCGAGCTGTCCCCCATGCACTGAGAGCTTGGCCAGGACTTTGTGCCTCAGTTCCCCCTCTGAGTGGGGAGCTGTGAGGGGCGGGGAGGGCCAGGCTGGGCATTAAAGCAGCACCCTGTGGGTGAGGGCTGGCTCCACAGTTAGGTTTGGATAGGGCCTGCCCGCCCCTCCTGCTTTAACATCAGCCCCGTCGCTGGGCTGGCTTCCCTCCAGACAGCCTCCGGCATCCGCCTCCCCCAGCACCAGACGGCTGGTAGGGTGCCAGCTCCTGGCCTGAAAGGGCAGCGGGCTGGGGAGAGACAAGGGGAGGCTGGGATGGGCTCAGGCCTACTGGTGCAAGCACAGGCCCCTCTCCCGGTAGTTTAAATGTCCTGCTAAGATGCTGTCACGGCTCCTGGGTGTGCAAATGGCAGCGTGTTCCTCAGCCCGTCTGCTCCCCGTGTGTAGGGGCTGGCTCCCCTCTGTGAGCCCCATGGAGCAGCCCCGCCTCGGGGGGTAGAAAGGCCTGCCCCAGAGACATTTCAGCTTGGACTCTGCCGCTCCCCGAGGAGAATGGCCCAGCGGGTGGTGGTAACAGGCCACACTAGCCAGTCACTGGGGTGGGGTGGCCCCTTTCCCCCCCAGGTTTTGCTTTCTCTCTGGCAGGGGGCCTGGATTTCTTCTCTGCACGAGGGGGGCATAGGAGGGGTCCGAGCGCCGCCTCTGCAAGCTGCCTGGGCGGGAAGCAGATGCTGCAGACCAGCCCCAGCTCTGGCCAAGGGCAGAACGGGCCCTGGTAGCAGGGTTGGGGTGGATGGCCAAGACCTACACTGGGAGGGAACAGCTTGTAGGGGGGTTTAGAGCCCCCCAGTGGGTGGGAATAGCAGGGGGCTGTGGGTCTGGACGGAGGGGCACCGGCAGAGTTGTGGGGGGAGCCCAGGGCTGCAGTCGCAGGGGGCTGCGGGTCTGGACGGAGGGGCACCGGCAGAGTTGTGGGGGGAGCCCGGAGCTGCGGGTCTGGACGGAGGGGTACCGCCCATAGAG